GCGGCGCTCAGCAACCCCATTCTGCTGTGGGGACTCTGGAAGCGTCCAGGACTGACGAATGCCCTGCTCGCGACAGAATCCAGCGAGAATGCCGGAGCGAAACTCACCCCCACGGTCGGAGTGGAGACAGCTGACACGACGACCACGAGTGTCCTCAGTGGTGAGCAACCACCTGATCAGCGTAGAAGTCACCTCAGACTTCTTCGCCAGAGGGAACACTGTGGTGTAGCGGGAGAAGTCGTCAACTACCACCAGAAAGTAACGCTCACGCTCAGGGCCTAGACGAGGGGCTGGGCCCCAGACGTCCAAGTGAAGCGTCTCAAAAGGCTCGGTGGCCGGACGAAGGGAGGAGGAGTGAGGGGTGGCGCGCAGCCTACCCTCGACGCAGGGACGACACGGCGGCGCAGGCGAAGGCGGCAGCGACGGCAAGACACGTGGGAGGCCTAAAACAAGACGCTGACTAGACATAGCGCGCAGACGTGGAAGGGACGGGTGCCCCATCCAGTGGTGCCACAGAACGGTGGGGTGGGCAAGCGACCGGCAGGAGCACGACGCAGCGACTGGAACAGACGTAGGAACCTGACACGACACAGACACCTGGGGGGACGTAGCAACCTGGTGAGACGCGGGGACCCGAACGGGGGGGGGAACCGGGGGCAGTGGCAGTAGGGGGGGCTGCTGGTGCGGCCGCTGGTGCTGCTGCTGCTGCTGCTGCTGCTGCTGCTGCTGCTGCTGCGGCTGCTGCTGCTGCTGCGGCTGCTGCTGCGGCGCACGCGGGCCAGTGTGAAGAGTGTAGAGACCCGAGCCCGGCTCAGCAGTAAAGGTAGCAAGAGGCTGGTAAGAGTCTCCGTCAACACACACCGCAGTCTCTCCAGAAGGCTCAAACCACACACCCACGTGCTGACTCACGAGGGGTCGCACGCCCACCAAGTTCCGGGAGAACGAGGGGACGTGAAACCCAGTGAGAGACCCGGAGGGAGCAGCAGGACACGGTAAAGTGGTAGTGTGACGTGCAGTGACTGGTCCCGTAGTGGGATCAGCCAACGCTACAGAAACAGGCGCAGGAAGTGGTGTAAGTGTCGTGCTGTCCCGAAAGAAGCAGTGGGAGGCTCCAGAGTCCAGTGTGAACGACAGCGAAGCGTCCTCTGAGGTAGTCGCTGGTCTAGAGTCTACACAAGTACCTACACTAGCAACAGGCAACTGAGCAAGACTAGCACCTAAGCTAACAACACCAGAGTAAACAGAGTCAGAAACACTAGAGTCAACAACAGCATACATAGCATGAGGAGCACTAATCAGATCAACTAACTGCTCAGCAGACATGCCCCACAGAGCGGAGCCGTAGCGCTGAACCAGAGGAAGCCAGTCAGGAGCAGGACCGCCAACCCCGTAGGTCAACCGGACCGTGTCAGTGAGCTGAGCAAAGCACTGACCAGGGGGGTGAAAGCGGCCACAAGGGTGGCCCCGACGAGGACCTGTCTGAACCTGGTAGGGGCAGGGAGGGTAATTAGCACCGCGCTGGGGCTGACGCAGCCCCGACCCCGGAGCCAGCTGCTGACGCTGCTGCTGCTGAGGCTGCTGGGAGGAAAGGGGCTGCTGCTGCTGCTGAAGGTGCTGCTGACGCTGAGCCTGGTACCACGCCGCTGCTCCACCTAGCGGGGCCGGCAGTACAGGAGGCGACTGACGAGCTCGAGGGTCGCCGCCACCAGCAGGTGCAGTGGAGTCACCAGCTGCTGCACGAGGGGTCTCTCCAGACGCTGCACTCCCACCACCGCCAGTCGCAACAGCACCCCCACTACCTCCGCTACCCCCACCTCCACCTCCACCGGAACCACCTTTCTTGCCCCCCCTGCCGCGGGACCGCGCCGCAGTCGTAACAGCAGCCGCAGTCGCGTCAGTAGCGGCAGTGGCAAGAGAGGCAGTGAAGGTGGGTAACTGCGGGACTGTGCACCCGTGGAAGAGTGGGGGGGACACAGTACCAGAGGCGGCAGCTACCGAACGAAGGTTGCTCTCGACGTCCTTGAGTGCAGACTCAAGGACCTCGATAGTCAGCTCACTAGGGTGCTTCAGCAGAAGCGCGTCACGAACGGAGGCAAGGCGGTTAGGGAGGCTAGTGGCGATGAAATAGACAGTAATCGCCATTGGGGGAGGAAGCAGTGCAAGCTGTGCCTCAGTGCAAGCAGCGCGGTAACTAGCGTCGAGCGAGCGGAGGTGAGCGATCAAGTCAGCAGAGCGCTCAAACGAGGCAAGATCAGGAAACAGGAACGGGAGGAAAAGACGGCCGAGAGAGACAGTAGCGGGAGTAGAGTAGCGGGCCTTAATCGCAGTGAGGTACGCAGCAGCGGTGCGAACCTGAGTAAAGTGGACCTCCTCGGACTCAGGGAGGAGGCTGCTGAGTGCGATGCAGGCCGCAGCGTCACGCGACGTCCAAGCCGTCCAGTCAGCGCACTGACGGGCAAAGCGAGCCGTAGCAGCGTCGTCAGGAGCAGGGCCTAAAGCGGTAGGCTCGGGGGGCTCGGGGAGGTCACCAGTAGCGTGTGACCAGAGGGTCTCGCCCCCCTGGACCTGACTCTCTAACAGACGACGAGCGCGAAGAAGCCAGACGGAAAAGTCAAGGGGTCTACCGTCAGCGTCGAAACGAAGAACTCGCGGAGTCGCCATAGTGAGAACCAACGCGAACGAACAGGCGAGTAACAACCGGGGGGGAAGAGGACTCAGTCGCAGCGGAAGAGCGGGCTAGGGCGACGGGCCAAAACGTAGGGTAGGGCAACGGGCCAGGGCCTAGGGTAGGGCGACGGGCCAGAGCCTAGGGAGGGCGACGGGCCAGGGCCTAGGGAGGGCGACGGGCCAGGGCCTAGGGAGGGCGACGGGCTAGGGCCTAGGGAGGGCAACGCGACGGGGGAAAGGGCGGGAGCGACGCGACGGGGCAGGGCGACGCGACGGGACAGGGCGACGCGACGGGGCAGGGCGGCGCGACGGAGCAGGGCGACGGGACAGGGCAGGGCGACGCGACGGGGTAGGGCGACGCGACGGGACAGGGCGACGGGACGGGACGGGACGGGACAGGGCGACGCGACGGGACGGGACAGGGCGACGCGACGGGACAGGGCGACGGGACGGGACAGGGCGACGCGACGGGACAGGGCGACGGGACGGGACAGGGCGACGCGACGGGACAGGGCGACGGGACAGGGCAGGGCGACGCGACGGGACAGGGCGACGGGACGGGGGGGGGAACAGGCGGGCGCGACGCGACGGGGGAAACAGGCGCGACGCGACGGGGGGGAACGGGCGCGACGCGACGGGGGGAACGGGCGCGACGCGACGGGGGGAACGGGCGCGACGCGACGGGGGGAACGGGCGCGACGCGACGGGGGGAACGGGCGCGACGCGACGGGGGGAACGGGCGCGACGCGACGGGGGGGAACGGGCGTGACGCGACGGGGGAGATGACGCTAGGCTCGGTACTAGGCGCGGTAACAACTAAACTGGTACGAACGAGAGGTAGGATCAGGCTCGGGAGGTACGAACGGAGAACGGAGGAACGGGATCCCACAGGATCCTAACCTAGCTGATACCATGTCAGAATGAGGAATGGATGTTGCATTGATGTTGGTTGGGGTACATATGACAAACCCTAACTTCTGTACCCCCTAAGACAAACCTCACTACAGGCTACAACATTTGACACAAGGATCCAGTGGATAGGATAGAATCTGTTGAGTCTAGGAGGAGACAATGAAGTCTCTGTAGTGACCTTGTTGAATAATAATTGAAAGAGAACAAGATGATTGAAAGATAGGAGTACAAGAGATTAAATAGAAATCTAGTTAGCCATGTACTCTGAGGGGTGCATTCCCTTATTAACTGTATAGCATAGCTACAGTAACCGTGACTATTGCTATCCTCGACAGTTACCATGTTGTAGTGAATTAACTGTCGCGCGGTTACTGGATTGTCAAGGGTCACGGCCGTTGACTTCCTCAGACGGTTGACCTTCAGGTGACCCTCGACATTCCGCAGGCTCTATATGAGCTATTGCGGTACTGGTGCAGTGGAACAGCTTCGGGAATGCTTTATATAACCCTTCGGTTATTCCAACAACCAGCCTGGCTCGGGAGGTCAACTGTGGGTTCGGTAGGCAAACTGTGCACAGTTTGTGTTCCTTTTTTTGTAATTCAGGTCTTGGGCTTTAAGGCCTCCTAGATAACTCCGACCAGTTCTGGTGATAATCTCGATGTGTGTTGCCGAAGTGCTGACAGAAAGTGTAGTTGGGGGGACCGATTTGTAAGTGGCACAGGTCCGTCTAAAGTTGGTTTCTCAATAAAGAGCTTATTTATTCCCTCACAATTGAAAGCTATCTGCTATCTCAGCCTAAACATTTACAAGCAGTCAGTTTGGTTTGGTAGTGAACCTAAAAGTGGATAAGGGCAGAACCCCTGATCCAGCATATTCCAGGAAACGCACTGTCACGTGCTCATGGAACAAGGGTGGCAACACAAAAAACAAAAGCATAAAGGCTAAAAACAACCCACACCAGTAAAAATTATAATACGGTAGGCAAAGATCTCCCGTCCCGTTTGTGTGCAACGTCATGAGATATGATTGCTCACCCTTCACTTGCTGCTGCTTCACTTTCTAGCTTGTGAAAATCCACTCATGCCAGCCCAGACACTTAGGACAGGAGGAAGAAACACATCCCTCTTGACAGGGGCATATTCCCCTCACCCTCAGTGATGGGCTCACATCTAGCCCACTCACATCAGTGGCTCAATCTCACCTCACCCTCACCACGTGTCCATTCCACTCGCATCTTCACTCTCATCGACTCTCATTTTCACTTCATCCCCAACCACTCCAGCCATCTTTCATGCTCCCTTACTCAGAACCAACAAACCACCCCTCCATATACCCCTCTTTACCAACCAAACCACCCTTGCCCACCACCACCACCACCACCACCACCTCTCTATACCCCTTACAAGATCACCCACGTTCTTTTAGTGAGTGATGCCCCCGCCGCGCCCCCCCTGCTGCCCCATCAGTTGATTTAACAGAGAGAGGTCATTACCTCCCCCCTGCCCTCCCCCTCCCCCATGTCTCGCACCTGACAAGTAATCCTCCGCCCCTCCCAACCCCACTCCACCTGCACCCGCCCCTCCCAGCTCCTGCGCAAACAGCAGGCTCTCGTTCAACCCTAAACGCCCCGCCAAAGGGTTTACCCCTTCCACTAACCCAAGGCTCCCTGCTCCTCCACCTCCCCCTCCCGTGCCGCCCGCACCTCCTCCCATCTGGAACAGCGATGCCGCGTTCTGACTCCCCATCGGAAGCCCTGACGCAGCCATACTCGCACGCAATGCAGCAACGTCTTGCATATTCGCAGCAGCCGCTGCTGCCGCCGCTGCAGAGCCACCGGCACCACCACCACCCCCCCCAGCCCCACCCACTCCTCCCCCAAGCAGGCTCACTAGCCCTGCAGCACTCAACCCATACGCTCCCCCTCCTCCTCCGCCCCCTCCCCCTCCTCCGCCTCCCCCCCCTCCTCCCCCACCAGCACCCCCCAGAGGACTACCCCCACCAGCCCCACCCAACGCGCCCAGATTCCCCCCCAGGGCCTGCAGAGTGAGAGAATCAACCGTCCCTAAGCCACCTAGCCCAGCCGAGCCTCCACCAGCTCCACCTCCCCCTGCTCCTCCCGTGCCCATGCGTTGCCGTGCCGCTCCCTCCTGCTGCGCCTGCAGCAATAAACTGATCTCATACCCAGTCAAGCCCTGCAGGCCTAATGCCTGGGCTAGCCCATTCGCTCCGCCTAGCCCCGCCAAGGCGCCGTTGCCGCTGCTGTTCCCGCCTGCTACTCCTGTGCCCGCGGCAGCAGCAGCAGCCGCCGCAGCTGCAGCAGCAGCGGCTGCGCTTGAGCCTTGCCCGCCAAGCAACCCTGCTGCTGCTGCAGCTGCAATGGCTTGGTTGCTTAGTCCTCCTGCCCCTCCAAGACCTGACAGGCCTGCAAACGAATGCGAGCCTACAGTCGACGACGCTGCCTCCTGCTGCTGCTGCTGCTGCTGCTGCTGCTGCTGCTGTTGCTGCTGCTGTTGTTGTTGCTGCTGCTGCTGCTCCTGCTCCTGCTGCTGCAGAGCCTGCAGCTGTGCTATTGTGGCTAGAGTGGAGGGGTCCAGACCCCCTCCAGCAACCAGCGCTGCCGCTGCAGCTGCAGCGGCCGCCGCAGCCGCAGCACCGCCACCACCCATCCCAAGATTCCCCAGCCCTGCAGCAGCAGCAAGCCCAGAAAGCACATCCGCCCCTGCCCCCGCCCCTAACCCCCCACCAGCTCCCCCCAGCCCCATCCCCCCTCCCGCTCCCCCTCCCCCTCCCCCTCCTGCTCCCCCGCCGCCACCAGTCAACCCAGCAGAGGAAGCAGCAGCAGCAGCCGCGAGGCTCATGGCAGGGGCTTTGGTGGTGCGGGTGCCAGCAGGCTGCACCTGCAGGGTGCCTCCAAAGAGACTGCCCTCTGTGGCTTGGAAGGACGCCACTGGGTGCGGCTGGGGGTTCACCCCGCTTAGCCGCTTCAGATACAGCCGGTATTTCTGCGATAGGGAGGGGGGGGGGTGTGGGGAAGGAGACGGGGAGATACGCTCCCCGAATGTCTCTTCGCTTTCCTTCAACCTGTCTCTTCCGCAGCAGGCCCCCTTTCCTTACCAGCCCCGTCTCCTGGAAGCCCTACCCACTACCCCTTTCCCCCTTCCCGCCACCCCCCCTTTCCTGAGCCCATGGAGCAGCAGCCTATTAAACGCAGCAGCAGCCAGGGATTCAGTCTACTAGCAGCGAGCAGGGTAACCAGAGGAACCACGGACGCACCTGCAGATGAGAGGCGACGTTCTCCCGAGTGAGTCCCTGCACGTTCATGATCTCCAATATGCGCTTGGGCACCGCCTCTGGTGGGGGACGGGGGAGGGAGGGGAACGGAGCGAGGGAGAGGAGGGCGCAGTGAGATACAGGTGAGACGTGCGGGTGTCTTGAGTGAGTCCCTGCACGTTCATGATCTCCAAAATGCGCTTGGGCACCGCCTCTGGTGGGGGGCGAGACGCGAGGAAGAAGGGGAACGGAGCAAAGTGGCAGGGTTCAGGACCAGGCGGTGAGGTGAGCTAGAGCCTGGAGGTTTAAGACATGCGGGACTCCCGCGTGAGACCCTGCACGTTCATGTTTTGAGTCGAGTCAAAACACGACATGCGGGACTCCCGAGTGAGTCCTTGCGCTTTCATGATTACCAGTATGCACTTGGGCTCCGCCTTTGGTGGGGACGGGCGGGACAGGGGTAAAAGGGAAGGGCGCGAAGGGAAAGGCGGGAAGAGCATTGAGCATGCCCGTGTTCTGAGTGAGTCCTCTTGTAATCACTTTTGAGAAGCACTTTTGACATGCAAATCTCAAGAGCACGTTCATACGTCCAATATTCGCTTCGGCACCGCCTCTCTTGAAGAACGTCCACTAGAATGACCGCACTCATGCATTCACCTTCTCATGCGCCTCATCAAGAAGAACGAAATACACAAGAAAAAGAAAAGAAAATATATGTACATATATATCTCTCAAGGTAAAGGAAGGAACAGGCAGCAGGCAGCAAGCAGCAGGGGCACTTACTGTCCACGCCGAGCCTGTTAACAGCATTAACGAACTGCTGGTGCAGCTCGATGGACCACACCACACGCGCCTTCTTGAGCATCATCGAGCAGGCAGGAGGCAGAGGGCAACACTCACAACAGGCAGCACACAGCAGGCAGCACACAGCAGGCAGCACACAGCAGGCAGCACACAGCAGGCAGCACACAGCAGGCAGCACGCACTATCGACGCAGGCGAGGGGCAGCACAGGCGGGGGGGAACACTCAATGCACGCAGCAAGCAGCACTTACTGTCCACTCCAAGCCGATTAACAGCATTAACGAACTGCTGGTGCAGCTCGATGGACCACACCACACGCGCCTTCTTCAGCGTAGACGCGTCCTCCAGATACTCCTCCTTCTTGCGCTTGCTCCCCGCCCCGTCCCCATCACTCTCCCCCGCTCCGCCCCCGCCCCCGCCCCCGCCTCCGCCACCTCCCCCCCCGCCTCCACCATCCCGCCCCTGATTCAGCAACCCGCCGCCGCCACTCCCTCCCGCTCCCCCTCCGCCTCCGCCTCCCCCGACCATGCTCGTCGCGCCTGTCGCGCCCCCGCCTCCGCCACCCCCCCCGCCTGCAGCCGTCTCGTCCCAGTCCCCCCCCGGCTCCTGTTTGAAGGGGTCGCGCGGGGGGGCGGCAGCGGAGGAGGAGGAGCGCTTGCGCACGACGTGCTGCCAGATGTTGCGCAGCTCCTCTATGCGCACGGGCTTTAAGAGGTAGTCGCACGCGCCGTGCGTTATGCCCTTCATCACCGCGCTCGTCTCCCCGTTCGCGCTCATCACTGGGGGAGGGGGGGAGGGTGGGGAAGGGATGGGGGAGGGGTGGGGGAGGGGTGGGGGAGGGGTGGCGGGGGGTTGAGCAAGGGGGTTGGAGACGGGAGGAACGGAGGTGGAGGGAGGAGGAGGGGGAGATGGGTGCGTAGAGTAAGAGAGAGGAGGAGGAGGAGCGCTTGCGCACGACGTGCTGCCAGATGTTGCGCAGCTCCTCGATGCGCACGGGCTTTAAGAGGTAGTCGCACGCGCCGTGGGTTATGCCCTTCATCACCGCGCTCGTCTCCCCGTTCGCGCTCATCGCTGGGGGAGGGGAAGGGGGCGAGGGGGGGAGGGGGGTGTGGGGGTTGCAAGGGGAAGGAATAGGGAGGGTAGGGTTGTTTGGAAGAGGGGAGAAACAGGGGTGCCTCCAGCAGCAGCACTATTGGAGTCAACGAAATGGTAGGCTGCATAGACGGAAGGAAGAGGTAAGCTGCATACACAGAGAAACCACGGAGCGACAAATGGAGCGCGGGGGACGTGGAACAGTTGGAAGGGGGGAGGGAGGGGGGACAGAGAAGAGAGTGAGAACGAAAGAAAGGACGAAAGAGACAGAAGAAGAGAGCAAGAGAAACAGGGCAGTGCGGAAGGAGGAGTAACAACGATACGCAGAGGAGAGCGCACGCGCGCGAGCGCGGGCGGGCGGGCGAGAGAGAGAGAGAGAGAGAGAGAGAGAGAGAGAGAGAGAGAGAGAGAGAGAGAGAGAGAGAGAGAGAGAGAGAGAGAGAGAGAGAGAGAGAGAGGGAGAGAGAGAGAGAGAGAGAGAGAGAGAGAGAGAGAGAGAGAGAGAGAGAGAGAGAGAGAGAGAGAGAGAGAGAGAGAGATAGTGCAACTGCAAGTGCAAGTGCAAGTGCAAGCGCAAGCGCTCGTGCACGTGCAAGAGAAGGCGAGCGCACTGATAACGGGGAGGTCGAGCTCGAGGCCGATGAGCTCTAGGAGCTTAAAGCCGTCCATGTCGGTTGAAGCATGTACAAGTCGCTGATCACCTTTAAGCCGACTCAACTCAACAGAGAGTGCACGCGCTCACCGCCCACCCGGTCGAGCTCGCCGCGATTCTCCCGCAGCACGGACGCAGGGAGAAAGAAAGGAAAAGCGAGCGAGAGCGGACGGGCGGGCGGGCGGAAGGGAGCGAGGGCGCGAGGGAGAGAGCGAGGGCGCGAGGGAGAGAGCAAGAGCTCACGGGAAGGGGAGCGCAACGCACTGATAACGGGGAGGTCGAGCTCGAGGCCGATGAGCTCGAGGAGCTTAAAGCCGTCCATGTCCGGCATGTACACGTCGCTTATCACCAGGTCGAACTTGTCCCGGTTCTCCCGCAGCAGCGCCAGCGCCGTTGCTGCGCGGCTGCATGTTGTCACTGGCGGGGGGGGGAGAAGGCGGGGGGCGGAGAAGGGGGGGGGGGGGGGGGGCGGAGAAGGCAGGGGGAAGGCGAAATGAGAACATCAGCCAATGCACGCCCGCACGCGCACACGATAACAACAATAGGGAGAAGTAATAACAACAATAAAAACAGAAAGCAATAGCACGTACGCCAATGACCCTAAGCATGTGCCTACTACAAAAAGCGGTATCGGCGAATGGAAACTGCCTGTGAGCACTGCGGAAAGCGAAGCCACAAAAGGCATGCGATTATCCAACCGGCCGGCGCATGAACACGGCAACGCACAGCGCACATGAGTACGTTTTTTCAGGTGACATTTGAGTCGACTCAACAACCGGGGGGAAAGGCGGCGCCGACGGAAGGAGTAACATTAGGCAAACAACAAACAGGACCGGAACACGCAATACCTTTAGGACCTGAACCCTCCAGACGCGAGCTGCCCCCGTTCGACACGCCTCGGCACTGTACCGCACTATAACATTGTTAACCACTTTGGAAATTCGAACTCGAGCCTATTTAAACCCTATGTTCCACACAACCGCCCATCCCCCCCCCACTCCCCTCTTCCTCCCCCTTCTCCCCAACCTGTTGTCCTCCCCCCACCACCCCCCCCCCCTCACCCCAGAACAGTTCTCTCTGGAACGATACTCGCTAAAAGTAGAAACATGCATTGGAGTAAGCAGCATGGGTTGCTCTAAAGAGCGAGGGCTTTTGAACCGACTTAAAAGTCATTTTCGCTGAAAGTAGAAACCGAAACTGGACTATGTGGCACAGGTTGCTCGAGCGAGCAGGACTGCCGCGTAGACTTGACCCGAACCGACTCGTGTTACGCCTTCGACCAGCGGCGGGGAATGCCGTGACGCGCATCCGTCGCGCACTCGCTAGTCGCTCAGGGCGATACGCGAGCTACATTCGCCACAAACGACGAAATGCGACGAAACAGGGCGACACGCCGACTGGCGGGGGACTCAAGAGAGCGCGGGAACAAGGGCGCGGTCGCGACGTGGGAGAGAAAAAAAAAACGTCGCGAAAATTAAAATTGAAAACCGGGTTACAGCGTAACAGGCGTACCAGTGTAGGCGCATTGGCGAAGCATGCGCTCGAGAATCATGAGGCAGAGCGGGTCATCATCGACCACTAGTACCCTCAGTCCCGCCGGGAAGCTGCTGCCGCCAGTGCTCGTGTTGCCCGTGCCGGCCGCCGGTAGGCTCTGCGGCGACGGCTCGAGATCAGCGGAGTTGTCGTCTTCTGTGACCCCCAGCTCCTGCTGCAATCCGGAGTACATGCTGGCGAACTAGGGCGAACTGCAGCAGACTTTGGCGAATATGCCGTTTGGCGAAAGTAACGGATGGGGAGCGAGAAAGCGCCTGCTTCCCCTCCGCGGACCGAGGAACAGTTAAGAAGCTTAAGACCTAAAACTATGGCAACGCGAAACTAATTCATTTACCCCCCAAGGAGAAAATAAAGACCAGTGAACGAGGGAGTATTTACATGACGAGCGTATCTACAGAAAATCCAGCACATTTTCGGAACAGGCTACAGCAGTAAACCTGGCTGTAAATAGGGTTCGGGGAAGGAGCTACCCACGATTTACATGATTGTTTGATAATCGCGGATCCTTCGTTATCTCGGCAAGGAAAAAGTTCCACTCACACGCATAATCAGCAAGCAGAAAGGAGCAGGACGGCGCGGAGCATAGGGAAAAAAATTACGGGGACCAAGCGAGCGAGGAACCTAATAAGAGCTGTAAGAGGACGGGCATAGTGAAATATGCGAAGAGCAGAAAGCAGAGAATATAGAGCAGAGAGCAGCAGACGGAGCAAGGAGCTATCCCGAGGGTGAAGGGTGCTGTTGCTGTCCCTGCAGTGCAGCACAGGCGGAGTTGCGATTGCGGGCCAGATCCATTGACGTACAGTACGATTGCGGTGTTGCTACTGTGCTCTGCTCCCCTCTCCACTGTTTCTGTGAGGCAGAGGAGAGCAAAGCAAACCCTACTAACGGCTGACCCAGCCCAGCTAAGGACAGGTCAGCAGAGTGGTGAGTTGGTTGGTTGAAGCGGTATTTCACCGCTGAATTATTCGCAGATGTTCGTGTAAGCTGGTTTGTGGCGGTGGTTGTGTGGTTTGTTACACGTCGCCATCGTCGTTAGCCGACCAGATGCTTTTGCGAACAGATCTGCGAATCCTGAGGGTTGGGGAAAGTGGCAGTTTGTGTGTGGTGCTTTCTGTCGGGAGACCAACAACGACACACGCTGGCCATCCATCCATTCTATCAGACTTTTCGAAAGCTGCGAAATGTTGAACGGTCAGCGACGCAGCTTCGTGCAATGGAACACGACTCGTGCGAAGCAGCAGAATGTTACAAATTGTTACAAATTGCACACCCAGAATAAAAAAAACTTGATAATAAGCATTTTAGTCAAACATTTCAGCTCCTCCATGTGGGCATGTTTCAAACAGACCCTTCTTGATGGCCTGAAATAACTTTGTAAGCGAAAAAATAAATCCGAATAGCATCCCCGTTCATAATCAAGTTGGAGAAACAAAACCATAGCCAATAAAACATCATCTACTGACACACATTACAGCCTCATCTTCATGCGCCTCCGTACATTATCCAGCAGGCGTTTCAAGAGATTTGACTGCTCTTGCGTTGAAGAAGGCAAATAGCCTAGCACAGGCGACTTCCAGATGCTCGTAGGGAACCGATGAGAAGCAGAGGCGGAAATACCCTGGCTCAGGGGCACGACACGATTCGCCTGAAGAGAGCGTGGAGCGAGGGGTTGTGGGGAAGAGGGAGAGGAGGGCCGGGAAGGGTAGTGGAAGAAGCAGAGAAAATGCCGTATTGCATGGTATGTCGAATAATGAGCCCATCCCGTTGCCAAGTCGATGCTCCAATAACCACACACACAAACCTCCAAGCATTTTTCAAGAAAGGGAAATAATCACAAAAACACCACCTCCACATTCGCCTAGACTTGTTCCAATGCTTTCACAAGATAGAAAGGAACTGAAAGTGATCCTTTAGCTAACTCAGACACCAACACCATCCAAATATTCACCAAGTATCTTCCCCATTGCTTTCATTGGAAAGAGAAAAAGAGCGGCCATGAGTGTACGACTCTTGCCCTGACGAGCTTGGCTCAGACACTCACCGGGTACCATGACAAGCTTGGCCCCGTCCTTGATGTCGGTCCACAGCTGCTTCTCCGCCTCAAAGGTGGGCGCAGAGAGGAAGCGACGCATGTCCGCAAACACAAACATGGCTGCTCCTGATGGCACGAAGGGGATCGAGAGCTCCTGGTGGTGTGAGGGGGCAGCGGGAGAGGAGGAGGAGGATTGCAGGGGAAAGGGGAATGAGAGGTGGAATGGAAGAGAAGAGACAAACGAAGCAGCCCCTGATGGCACGAAGGGGATAGCGAACTCCTAGTGTGGGTGTACCAGGAGGGTGGGTGGAGGAGGATGGGGAGGAGAGGAGAGGGGAGGAGGAGGGAGGAAGGAGGAGGAGGAGGGGAGGAGGAGGAGGAGGGGGGAGGAGGAGGAAGTGGAGGAGGAGGAGGAGGAGGAGGAGGAGGAGGAGGAGGAGGAGGAGGAGGAGGAGGAGGAGGAGGAGGAGGAGGAGGAGGAGGAGGAGGAGGAGGAGGAGGAGGAGGAGGAGGAGGAGGAGGAGGAGGAGGAGGAGGAGGAGGAGGAGGAGGAGGAGGAGGAGGAGGAGGAGGAGGAGGAGGAGGAGGAGGAGGAGGAGCAGCAGCAGCAGCAAAAGCATTTCTCAGTTCTCTGAACAGCTCTCCAAGGAGCCCCACCACCAAGGGTGCTGCAGATGTTCGGCGAAAACAAAGCCCAGTTTTTGAGTCGACTCAAAACCTGCAATGAAAAAGGCTATCATGCAACCCCACCTCTGGGACGCAGCAGCTGGATCGCAGTTTCCGCTGACAAGTTTGGTCAATACTCCCAACACGTATCCAGAAAACCCACCTGTAGTGTGCTGCAGATGAGTTGGTGTGAGCGGTGCAGTCGCTTCTTGTTCTCTGCCAAAAACGCGTCCACCCACGCGTCATCCTCAAGCAGTGAGCTCAGCGCCCATTGCGTGTCCTGCGACACCCACGAGAAGATGTTCACCATGCGTAGCGCCTGGGGGTGGGGGAGAAAAGGGGGGCGCACATCGAAGAGTGGGAGGAATTTGCAAGAACGGGGCTGAGGGAAAACGCTGGTGTGTCTGCGACACCCACGAAAAGATGTTCACCATGCCTAACGCCTGTGGGCGAAAGGGGGAAAGTGTCAGAATCACAGTCACTAACCACTGAAATAAAAGGGCTTGTTAAGTGGCGGATGAGTGCACACATAACCTCCAGACTGGCGAACCTGTAACCATTCCCTATGATCAAAGAGCATCTCCAGTGCAGGTCTTCTAACACCCTCTCTCACAGGTATGCTCTAGGGCGCGACACAACGGCAAAGACACCAAGGCGCCTGCATGTGGCACATAGGGATTCGAACCCGAAACCTTTGCTTTTATAACATGTCAGAATCTCAGTCATTAGCCACTTGGATAAAATGACTTGTGAAGTACCGGTTGAGTGAGCCCATAACCCCCAAGCTAGCGAGTCTGTAACCCTTCCCTATGATCAATCGGACATCCTCAGAGTATCTTCTGACAGAAACGAGAGGGGAGGGGGGTCAGTGAGAAGCACCCAGCAACCAACCCACTACGCAGTACCCACAACACTCACCCACAAGAGGCACCATTGACAGCCAGAAGCATGAGTACTCACAGTGAGCAGCTTCCGGTTGCGCGAGAAGAGGATGCCGACCCGGAAGCCATTGAGTGTGAAGTCCTTGCTCATGCCGTACGTCAGATGCACCCTGTCATCCACCTCCTCTCGTGAGGCCTTCCCCTCCGCCACAAGTCGCTCTGCCAGCTCCACCCCGCTCACACACTCTGTGTTGGGAGGAGTGGAGAAGGACGGGAGGGGTGAGATGATAAAAGTTGAGTTTTGAGACGTCTCAAAATTCACATTTCATCACGTGGGAGGCATGGAGAAGGATGGGAGGGGTGTGGTGGGGAGCTGTGAGGCGGAGATGGGCGAGGCTGTGGGGATGGGTGAGGCAGGCCGAATCGGCGCTGCAAAGTACAACAACCCCAACTGTTCTTCCCTCAACTCTTGCACGCGTACTCAGCACATCATCCAATATAAAAACTGTGGGTAGAGAGACGACTTTTGAGGCGCCTCAAAATCTTCTCCCAACTCTTGCGCACTTACTCAGCACATCATCCTTTTTCACACACTCACTCACCCGGAACACCATCCCCAAACACCGATGCAGAGTACACCTCGTCCGCAATCACATGCAGGCCCGCCTGCAGCGCCCACGCCACCAGCGCCGCCACCGCTGCTTCGGGCCACACAGTGCCGTGCGGGTTGGTGGGGTTGGTGAGCACGATGGTTCGCACGCACACGCCCCTCGCTGCTGCTGCTTCCAGTGCGGATTGGCAGTCTTCGGGGGTGGGCTGGAAGAGACGCTGGTCCGCTGTTGCGACTGGTATGATCTCCACTCGATTTCTGAGGGTGGGAGTAGAGCAAGGGAGAGGACGTTTTAAGCGCCTTAGCATTTGTGTTGTGACACCTTGGAGGAACTCGGAGGAACTCGAAGGAACTCAGAGGAACTCGATGGGAATATTAGTCTGACAATCTTCGCGCAACTACCACACTCGTTGAAAGCCCACAAGGAAACCCGGGGTGATGACGCACACGGCATGGGAAGCGCGCGGCACAATGAGCACAACTGTTCAAGCGAAATCAGCTTCAGCATCAGGTGATAAATTACGTCACTAGCACCACTTTCAACCCAGCCCAGCCCAGCCCAGCCCAGCCCAGCAGCAGCAGAGCACCTGAGCTGGGAGTGCCCAATGAAGCCTGGCTAGAAAAGAGCAGGGATGATAATCGACCACTCTCAACCCATCCCAACCCAGCAGCACCTGAGCTGAAAGTCGCCAATGAAGCCTGGGTAGAAGGGCGCGGGGATGAGCACCCCCTCGCCCGCATCACACAGGGTGTACGCCAGGTGCTCCACTATAGCACTCACTCCTGCTCCCACACAAATGTTCTCTGGTGATACCTGCATGGTGGTGAGGGGGGAGACAGTGGAGTTACTTGAGGGGAAGCGGTGGTAAGGTGAGAGAGTGACCGTCAGGGGCTTGTGCTGTAATAGTGGTAAGGGGAAAGAGAGCAATGGTAAGGGGAAAGAGAGAGCAGTGGTAAGGGGAAAGAGAGTGGCACTGTGTGAGGTGACACAGTGTGAGTGACATGACACTTAGTGTAACGCAGGCTAGGCACACTCACACTCACACTCACACTCACAAATCCACAACCCCTCATCCCGCTTCACCGTAACTCACCAGCCCCGGGCAGCGTGGCAGCAGCAGCCGCTGCACGGTGTGCGCTACAGCCGCCTTGAAGCGCGGCATGCCCGTGATCTGGTTGTAGCGCGCCACCTCCGGCTCTATCGGGGCGCGATTGGCCAGCTTCTCCTGGTGGGGGAAAAGGAGACGAAGGGGGGGTGGGGAGGTGGGGAAGAGGGTTTGGGGCGGGGGAACGAGGAGAGGAGATTTTGTGGAGAAAACGGTGAGGAGAGGTGGGGTGTGGTGGAATGCGTGCGACCAGGTTGTAGCGCGCCGCCTCGGGCTCTATTGCTGCACGATTGGCCAGCTTCCCCTCCCTGGTAGGGAAAGCGGGGGAGGGAGGAGTGGGGAGGGGAGAAAGGGAGGGGGTTGGAAGGGAGTGGGGGAAAGGGAATTTGCAGGTGAAACGGTGAGTAGTGGGGGGTGGAATGCCTGTGACCAGGTTGTAGCGCGTTACCTCCGGCACTATTGTTGCATGCATGCCTAGCTTCTGCTGGTAACGGCAGGGTTGGGGGGAAAGGAGAAAGTGGAAAGCGGGGGGGGGGGGACGAGGACAGGGGAGAGTGAGAATCGGGAGGATGATTGGTGGAAAGAGAGGAGATAAATGAATGGACTAATGAGACCAAACACTATCTATGAGGCCAGCATTCTTAGGCAAAGAAAAGCCTTAATATCTTTTACCGACTGAAAAAAAGTATGATGTAACACAACAAGGAACCTGACGACGCAACACAAAACTGCAAACTTGCAAGCTCCCTCTCGCGGGACTCTCAGTCATCACACTCTCGTTACAATCGCCCTCGATAATAGCCACCTCCCAACAACAGTCACACACACCTGCAGCCAATCGAACATGAGCATGTTCTCCGCTATAGACACATTGATGAACCCGTTGGGGTTAGTCGTCGGCGAGTACATGTCCTTAGCGGCTTCCATAGACGCTGAGAAATAGTACAACCCGGGAATAGGCTGCAAAGCACGCTCGCCGCGACTCGAGAGCTCCCCTATCTCTCGCTTGCTATTAACTCGGACCGCCTCCGTGGCTGATTCCGACCATAAGGCGTTATTCGAAGCAAGGGTTGTAGAGACGTCCTTAGAAGCGGAAACTAGTACGGGGCGGTCCGAGAGGCCGGGAGATTGCCCGCACTCGCAGCGCGTTAAGAGACACGTGTCGTCGCTAGATTTGCGAGAGCTGAAACTACTCGATGCCGCTCCTTTGCCGTTTGTTTTAACAGCAAGCATGTCATTCCCGAGAGCGCTTCGGATCCATCTGAAAACCGGCCCAGCAGCCACTACCGCGGAAGAGCCAATCGCGATTCCTATCAGCCGACCATCCATGGCTCTTTGTCAAAGAGTGATGCAGAAAAAAGCGACGGGTTTCGCCCTGCTCACAGGTAAGCACGAGAAAATCGCGGAGTAGAGGGAAATGTGGTCACGGAGAAGCCTAAAGAGAGCAACTGCGAAGGAATGCGCATCTCGATGAGCTGTTGAATTGAAACGCCTCAACTCAACCCCCTTGAGCCTACAGCATCACCAGGGTTGGCTCTCAATTGTTTTGGGGGAGCCTGAGGGTGCATTCTTGCCTCGTGTCTGACATCAGGTCATCCGAGACTAAGGGCGGATGACCTGATGTCAGACACGAGGCAAGAATGCACCCTGAGGGGTCCATCCGAGATGTCAGCGAGGGTGTGAGAAAGTTTTTGAAGGTTCTCGCTGTTGGAGAATCGAGTTTCTGCCGCCCCAGCCCTTGGCACACAAGCAGCAGCAAGGGGGAATGTCGGCGATGAATCAGAGGCTTCGGGAAGTACTTCGAAAGTTCCACCACCAATCAGATTTCAGCCGAAGACTAGATACAGTTCAAAGCTGCCTTCAAACCGAAGTGTTGGCAGTTTCTACACGTTTCCACACATCAGAATCAGCTATAACAGAAATATCCAGAGTTTTCTTATTCATGCACCTCATGTGGCACTCAAAGTCACTCAAGGTCCATCCAATCTAGATTGTGCCCAAGTTACCAGGGAAGTTACATTGTCTATCAGCCTAGTTTGAGCTTTCAATCTGTCTTGTTTGTGATGCCTAAAGAGTTGTGCTTTAGTGGGCTTGTTAATCTTGAACATAGTGAAGTTTTACCTCATCCAGTCAATTCCAGCAGCCCTGCTAAGACTTTCCAGCCAAGTTTCCAGCCCTCCAGTAGTCACAGCTACTCTGTTTTACAAGTTGGTATCAGAGCTCGTTGTTTCGATCAACCTAGCCCACCACGTTCCTATCTGTCAAATGTTGTAGCCTGTAGTGAGGTTTGTCTTAGGGGGTACAGAAGTTAGGGTTTGTTATATGTACCCCAACCAACATCAATGGATCATCATTCCTCATTTTGACATGGTATCAGCTAGGTTAGGATCCTGTGGGATCCCGTTCCTCCGTTCTCCGTTCGTCCCTCCCGAGCCTAATCCTACCTCTCGTTCGTACCGGTTCCGTTGTTACCGCGCCTAGTACCGAGCCTAGCGCCCTCTCCCCCGTCGCTTAGCGCCCTTTCTCCCCGTCGCCCAGCGCCCTTTCCCCCCCCCCCCCCCCGTCGCGTCGCGCCCTTTCCCCCCGTCGCCTAGCGCTCTTTCCCCCCGTCGCGTCGCGCCCGTTCCCCCCGTCACGTCGTGCCCGCCCTTTCCCCCCCGTCCCGTCGCCCTGTCCCGTCGCGTCGCCCTGCCCCGTCCCGTCGCCCTGCCCCGTCGCGTCGCCCTGCCCCGTCCCGTCACCCTGTCCCGTCGCGTCGCCCTGCCCCGTCCCGTCGCCCTGCCCCGTCGCGTCGCCCTGCCCCGTCCCGTCACCCTGCCCCATCGCGTCGCCCTGCCCCGTCGCGTCGCCCTGCCCCGTCCCATCACCCTGCCCCATCGCGCCGCCCTGCCCCGTCGCGTCGCCCTGTCCCATCCCTACGCCCTGGCCCGTCGCCCTACCCTACGCCCTGGCCCGTCGCCCTACCCTACGCCCTGGCCCGTCGCCCTAGCCCGCTCTTCCGCTGCGACTGAGTCCCCTTCCCATCTGAACCCTAATTTGCCTCTTCTCCCCGGTTGTTACTCGCCTGTTCGTTCGCGTTAGTTCTCACTATGGCGACTCCGCGAGTTCTTCGTTTCGACGCTGACGGTAGACCACTTGACTTTTCCGTCTGGCTTCTTCGCGCTCGCCGTCTGTTAGAGAGTCAGGTCCAGGGGGGCGAGACCCTCTGGTCGCACGCTACTGGTGACCTCCCCGAGCCCCCCGAGCCTACAGCTTTAGGCTCTGCCCCTGACGACGCTGCTACGGCTCGCTTTGCCCGTCAGCGCGCTGACCGGACGGCTTGGACGTCGCGTGACGCTGCGGCCTGCATCGCACTCAGCAGCCTCCTCCCTGAGTCAGAGGAGGTCCACTTTACTCAGGTTCGCACCGCTGCTGCGTACCTCACTGCGATTAAGGCCCGCTACTCTACTCCGGCTACTGTCTCTCTTGGCCGTCTTTTCCTCCCGTTCCTGTTTCCTGATCTCGCCTCGTTTGAGCGCTCTGCTGACTTGATCGCTCACCTCCGCTCGCTCGACGCTAGTTACCGCGCTGCTTGCACTGAGGCACAGCTTGCACTGCTTCCTCCCCCCATGGCGATTACTGTCTATTTCATCGCCACTAGCCTCCCAGACCGCCTAGCCTCCGTTCGTGACGCGCTTCTGCTGAAGCACCCTAGTGAGCTGACTATCGAGGTCCTTGAGTCTGCACTCAAGGACGTCGAGAGCAACCTTCGCTCGGTAGCTGCCGCCTCTGGTACTATGTCCCCCCCACTCTTCCACGGGTGCACAGTCCCGCAGTTACCCACCTTCACTGCCTCTCTCGCCACTGCCGCTACTGACGCGACTGCGGCTGCTGTTACGACTGCGTCGCGGTCCCGCGGCAAGGGGGGCAAGAAAGGTAGTTCTGGTGGAGGTGGAGGTAGCGGAGGTAGTGGGGGTGCTGTTGCGACTGGCGGTGGTGGGAGTGCAGCGTCTGGAGAGACCCCTCGTGCAGCGGCTGGTGACTCCACTGCGCCTGCTGGTGGCGGCGACCCCCGAGCTCGTCAGTCGCCTCCTGTACTGCCGACCCCGCTAGGTGGAGCAGCGGCGTGGTACCAGGCTCAGCGTCAGCAGCACCTTCAGCAGCAGCAGCAGCAGCCCCTTTCCTCCCGCCAGCCTCAGCAGCAGCAGCGCCAGCAGCTGGCTCCGGGGTCGGGGCTGCGTCAGCCCCAGCGCGGTGCTTCTTACCCTCCCTGCACCTATCAGGTTCTGACAGGTCCTCGTCGGGGCCACCCTTGTGGCCGCTTTCACCCCCCTGGTCAGTGCTCTGCTCAGCTCACTGACACGGTCCAGTTGGCCTACGGGGTTGGCGGTCCTGCTCTTGACTGGCTTCCTCTGGTTCAGCGCTACGGCTCCGCTCTGTGGGGCATGTCTGCTGAGCAGTTAGTTGATCTGATTGGTGCTCCTCATGCTATGTATGCTGTTGTTGACTCTAGTGTTTCTGACTCTGTTTACTCTGGTGTTGTTAGCTTAGGTGCTAGTCTTGCTCAGTTGCCTGTTGCTAGTGTAGGTTCTTGTGTAGACTCTAGACCAGCGACTACCTCAGAGGACGCTTCGCTGTCGTTCACGCTGGACTCTGGAGCCTCACACTGCTTCTTCCGGGACAGCACGACACTTACACCACTTCCTGCGCCTGTTTCTGTGGCTTTGGCTGATCCCACTACGGGACCAGTCACTGCACGTCACACTACCACTTTACCGTGTCCTGCTGCTCCCTCCGGGTCTCTCACTGGGTTTCACGTCCCCTCGTTCTCCCGGAACTTGGTGGGCGTGCGACCCCTCGTGAGTCAGCACGTGGGTGTGTGGTTTGAGCCTTCTGGAGAGACTGCGGTGTGTGTTGACGGAGACTCTTACCAGCCTCTTGCTACCTTTACTGCTGAGCCGGGCTCAGGTCTCTACACTCTTCACACTAGCCCGCGTGCGCCGCAGCAGCAGCCGCAGCAGCAGCAGCAGCCGCCGCCGCAGCAGCAGCAGCAGCAGCAGCTGCACCAGCGGTCGCACCAGCAGCCGCCCCTACTGCCACTGCCCCCGGTTCCCCCCCCCGTTCGGGTCCCCGCGTCTCACCAGGTTGCTTCGTCCCCCCAGGTGTCTGTGTCGTGTCAGGTTCCTACGTCTGCTCCAGTCGCTGCGTCGTGCTCCTGCCGGTCGCTTGCCCACCCCACCGTTTTGTGGCACCACCGGATGGGGCACCCGTCCCTTCCTCGTCTGCGCGCTATGTCTAGTCAGCGTCTTGTCCTAGGCCTCCCACGTGTCTTGCCGTCGCTGCCGCCTTCGCTTGCGCCGCCCAGAGGAGAGGGAGTTACAGCGGCTGGAGGAGCAGCAGCAGCAGCAGCAGCTGGAGCCGCAGGAGCAGCAGCAGCAGCAGCAGCAGCAGCTGGACCCGCAGGAGCAGCAGTCCCAGCAGCAGCCGCTTCCGCAGCAGAAGCAGTCGCAGCAGCAGCAGCAGCAGCAGCCACTTCCTCCTCCTGTCTCGGATCTTCGGACCCTTGGTCTCCCCTCCCCTTCTCCTCCCTCCTCCGCCTCTCCTCCTGTCTACGGTCCCACGTTTCCTCCTCCTGACCCCTCCCCCGCTGTTTTCCCCAGTTCTCCGCCTTTGTCCTCTCCTCCTCCGTCTCGTTCTTGGGCTACTCGTCGCTCCCCTCGTGCTCGTCCCTCGTCTCCTGTTCCCTTCACTGACCTTCGTACTGCCTTCCTTCTTTCTAGTCCACCTCGTCCGTCTCAGTCTGTGCTTCCGTCTCCTCCTGAGTCGGCCCTCACTGTGTCGCTCCCTACTCCTGTCACTGACTACTACCGCACGTACCGTCCTGTTCTCTCTCGTGTTCTCGCCTCTCTTGTTACTCACCCTCGTGCCTCTGTGTCCTCTGTGTCCGC